ATTTATTCACTCGGTCACTGGAACTGAAGCAATACTTTTAGATTGTTTCTCAATGAAGACATGGATTATCTTCCAAAGTGTTTAATGATTCGTTTGATTGTTCGTACTCAGGTACCTGTCACAGATAAAAAAAAACGGAATCCCACTCTTGAATAATTACACCACGTCGTAACTCACCGTTAATTCTAAGTCTCTTTGTTCCTATCCGCATGATATATTACATAACCTAATGTAATGAGTAACAGAACAAGTGGCTGTAGGAAGAAAGTTAAACAGTATTAGTGAGTATAATAAAATAACGAGCTTCAGATAGGTTTTCGACATAATTTTAAAAACTGATGATAGGAATTTTCAATAGATACAAGGGAAAATCAATAAATTTGATCGATACCCCCACTAAACCGCTGACAGATTCATTATCGTTGATCACAATACCTCGAAAGAAGAACTATAATATTTTAATGGTGTTTACCCGGCAATTAGTTTTACAGATGATGACGAGTGTGACAAAAAAACATAACGTCCTTGACATCTTACTAAGCTGAAGCATGTTTAGAGAGGGCTTCTTAGCTTGCCCATATACACACTCCTACAGATTTATACCTGTAAGTAACCTACGAAATCTGTTAGAATTCCTCACAAGCACAACGAAGATAATATGCTAAGTAGATGTCATGGAGAAAGAGGTTGAGGTTAAAGCGCTTGATGACGGATATCGGCCCCCAAAGTTTTTTAAGCAGTGCTTAATACATCCAAATTCTACACTGATTTTTTCAACAAGAAATAGCAATCAACACTCGTAACTAAGTCAGCATGCTTGAAAATCGGGGCTACCTGTTTCATAATGCTAAATTCTGCAAATAAGTTACTTCATTATGAATGTTATAAATTGGCAATTATGTCAACTAAGCGGATTATAAAATTGTGTACTGACACTAAAAGTTCAAAAGTTATCGTTTCACAACCTTGCTAATTGTGGTGGCTGGAAATTAGCAATAAAGAAAAGTTGATTGATTAGATATCGGTTTCTGTAACGTTTACTGCGAATAGCCGATTACTAATTGTTTTGTTAAGGAAACTTGCTGAAATAATCCATGCTGAGAATTCCATATTACGCTAAGCAAATAACATTAAAGGAAGAGACAAGAACATCATTAGCAAGTTTAATATTTTGTTTCGTGTCCTAACAATTCTTTTTTGAGTTGCGAGCGGCTGATTCGAATTTGATAGAGTCACATGACAAAGTTTACAGCAAGCCATCAGGTTTCTGTTTCATAGAGAATGAGTGAAATGGGTAATAACCGGAACTGAAGTCTTGGGCAACTATGTTCAGCGAATAAACTCGGACTCTAATTAAAGTAATAATATTCACGAAACAGTTGATAGTCAAATACGTTGAGATTTTCCGTAAGCAATGCAATTGTTTGTGGGGAAATCAGTCGAGGATATTGACGATTCAGTATAAGCCTCCACCGTTGAAACTGAAATTCGTCGACCATGTGGCTAACGATGTTTGGCATGATAGATTAGCGAAGGCAGTTAGTACGAAGGATCTTGAGTTAACATTTTCTAGACGACCGTTGGTGCTATCACACAAAAAATTGATCAGCAGGACATATTTTTGGAACTGAATTGAAAGTGAAACCACATGACTAAGTAAACTTCAACTTATAATGGCTCTGGATATGGAAGTCTAGTCAAGGTTGTGAGGTGACTTAAGTTTAAAAGAAAGAGCATAACCAAACATTACTATTTCTATCTGAATTTTCATCAGGTTTTATTCTAACGAGCATAAGTATTCCTTTGAACCTGCTGAACCGATTATGCCCATTTATCAGGCAAAGGTTACAGTGAAATATAATAACCTAACCGTATTACAACACTCCGTTGGTCGGATATAACTTAGCAGATTATTTCATTTTATTATTATTGCCGCATCCTGTATTGTTTGTCTATTTTCCTCTTTAATTTATATTCTTCACCATCTAATTACTTACACTCCTTTTAGAACATAATTTAATAAATGTCTTGCTTTTGTTATTTTAAGCCTATTTGTTCGAATTCGACACACCACTTCCGATAATGGAGTAATAATAATGAGTTGTTCTCAAATAACAACATGTTACAAGAGTCATTTCAGTTTACAGACAAGATCAAAATGTTAAAATTGCTAACATATATGCTGTAAACGTTGTTCAAGTACTTACATATTTCACGACATACGTTAACTTTATACAGATCGCTGCAATTCTCTACAGACTCTGAAATGTACCATGCGATAGTTGGTATAAGTTACGACGATCAGTTAATGGCTGAGAACCGAAGCATGCTAAATCCAAGTTTACTTATTGATGAGGCG